ACACCGCAATAAAAGTTGAAAAGGGAGAGGGATAATTTACTATACGAATGGGATGGGTATAATGGGAGGTATTTCCAGATCCTGAGGGGACTGAGTGCCCTCTCACCTCAAGGCTGTCTGGGATTCTCACGCTTCCCACTCCAGTCCTCTCTACAGACTGGTCCACAAACAAAACCAAAACCAAAAACCATGGCCAACTCAGAGCTCCAGCACTCTGGCCACTAGTAATGCCCTCACTATGCTTCCTGGCACGGATAAGGTATACACCAACTATGGCCTACCGGCTGCCCCCAGGGTGTTAGAACTTCAAATGCTTTTGCTATAATGGTCCTTTGTGGTTGACTATACTTTTGTGTTCCCCTCATGAACCACATATCATGACATTGGGCTCTTGTGATGCCCACCCCCATGAACAGGGAGCCTGGCTCCAGCCAACAGGTCTGCAGTAAGCATGCTGCAAACAGAGGCTCACTAAGCACTTGAAGGTGGGGGTCTAGTCTCCAGGAATGTTGGGAAAATACTCCTTCTTGGAACATAGTCACCATGACAAGAGGGAGTCCATGCAACTATGTTGAAAGGCCCACCTGGAAGAGAAGTGAGAACCCTCCAGCCAGCCACCCCAGTTGAGCTCCCAGATGATAACAGGTACCCAGTGCTAGAGCCAACACTGTGAAGTAAAGCCCCAGAAACACTTCAGAATCCAAGAGAGAATAAACTGCTATGGTTTTAAGTCACTAGACTTTGTGGTGGTTTCTCACACAGCAATAGGTCATCAAGACTTGCTTCATCAGAAGTTTTGGTAAATGTGAGATATACAACTGTAACACAATGAGTAACTGTCCTAGAATGATGTATCTTTGCCTTCCTACAGCAGTGCTGTTAGGTTCTTGCAGTGGGCTGGGAATGTGGGAATACTTGTGGCATTTGATGTAGGCGGACAGAAAAAAATGACCAATCTATTAAAGAAAAAAAACTTAATGGTGGAGAGGAGATGGAAAAAAGTAAATAAGTAAAATGACCAATGTAATATACTGGCTCCCATGTAAAGTCGGTGCTCAGTGCACTGCAATGTGAAAGAACTGGGTTTTGTGACCCAGCTCTAACAGTACCTTCCTCATGACACCTGGGCAAATTCTCTTTTCATTGAGAAGGTCAGAAAAGGCCATTGTGTAGACGCTACAACTCATAGTTCAGTTTGAAGAAGTACTGGGGAGATATTTATGAATCTCCCCACAAAGTATTTATTTGCAAAGAGAGTAAAGAATAAAAGTTCCTTTGCCAGAAACAGGACTACCGGGCAGCACATACTTCCTAAAGGATATACTGAGAAGAACCCAGCATCATATCTGTAACGTTTCTGCCAAATACAAAAAGACACCCTATGTTTACTGCAGCACTATTTATAATAGGTAGGCTATGGAAACCACCCAAATGCCTAAAAATAGATGACTAGATCAAGACAATGTGGTACATATACACAATGGAATATTACTCAGCTACCAAAAAAGATAAACTCATGCCATTCGCAGCATCATGGATGGAGCTGGAAGGGATTATGCTCAGTGAAATAAGTCAAAAGGAAAAAGAAAATATTGGATGGTTTCACTTATAGGAAGAATATAGGGGTACCAAATACGGGATCAGGAAAAAAAACACAACAATAATACATTTAAAAAAAACAAAATTAGCAGGCAACCATAAATCAGAGACATTCTGCAAAGGAGGGGGAGGAGGAGGGATCAAAACAGGGGGAGGAAGAACTTAAGAGACTATGGTGATGGTCCACGGGTGACTTGGTGGTGGGAGTTTTATGGGGGCTACATACAAGGAGAAAGCATACAAGTATGCACTGTACAAAAATGAATGATGTAATATACATAAAATGTAAATATCATATATATATATATATGTATATAAAACAAAGTGCCAAAGGGGAACTAGCTAGGAATAGGAGACAACAGCAGGTACTCCCAAATTCGGGATATTCTGCAAAGCAGCTAACAGTTCTCTTAAGAAATGTCCACATTAACAAAGGGGCAGTTCCTCACTGTAGGGGACTAAAGAGACATGAAAACTCAGTACAATACTTGACCTTGGTTTTCTTTTTCAATAAAGGGCAGTAGTTGGACAGTTAGTGAAATCTGAATCACATCTATAGATTAGGTAAAGTATGGTGTCACTGTTAATTTGTCTGGTTTGATTATTGTGCTGTTGGGTTAAGAACATTCTTTGCTTTTAGAAATGCACAATAAATAAAAGGGGTGTGATATCAGCAACTTAACATTTAAATGGTTTAGAAAAATGTGTGCATGGGCATGTGCATGTTCCTGTGAAAAGGGGAAGGATGTGTAAAATATTAACACTTAGAGGACTAAGGTGAAGAGTATCTGGGGATTCTTTGTAACTTTTGTCAAGCTGAAATTATGCTAAAATTAAAAATAAAACATTTAAAAGGCAATGATTGGTGAGTCAGTTCTTTTGAACTTTTGTCCTAGCCACTCGGCTGACTCTAGTCTGAACTGCCTCCTCCAGTCTGAACAGACCGTGTGACTGGTTTTTTGGCTCACACACCCCTTTTTAATTTGATGACGCTTCAGGCTCCTCCCAGAAAAATTTCTTATTTACATTTGCCTTAGCATCAAACTACTTCAAGATATGAACTCTGACCTGGGGGCCCGGTGAAGAAATACCCACACAGAGAAGGTTAGAGGTCCCAGAAGCAGAGTGAAAAGAGACCAACTTGGTCATTCAGAGTCCAAGACCCTATCGTCCCTGGAGAGTTCCTCCTCTTTTCACACACCTCTGCAGACAAAGAGGAGCAGAGAGGAAGCTGTCTTCTGCTTGGTGCCTGCCTTCTGCTTTTCAGCTGAGAGCCCTTGGGACAGCTAGTCAATCTCTCAATCAGTTTTCTCTTCCATAAAATAGAGCCAATTATGCACCATCTCATGGAGGCTTTGGGAGAATTAAGAACACAGAAATGGGAGCTGCCCTTATTTTTGTACTTTTAGCACCTAGCTCAATGCCTTATGGGCTTGGCTGTTAACATGACCAGTCTGGCAGTGGTTCTGGAAATGCTGTGGGCTGCTTAGTGGTTCAGCAATGAGCAGTTTCTCAGACATGAGGCTACTTCTAAGGCTTAAGCCCTGGAGCTGCGTTGCCAATTAATTTTTGTTTTCCTAGGAACCTCTGAGATCAGACCTTTGTTTTCATCCCTTGGAGTTCAATGCCTTTTGTTGGACATCCTTTCCTTTTATTTAGCTTTTACCTATATTCAGTTCAACTTGAACACTACATATTTTGGTAAAATGTGAATATATTAGTAGTGTGCTTTCTCTTCAACTGCCCTTTTCTTCACCATGAAATTCTCTCTCCGAATGACATGTATTACAAGGTATCATTCAAAGTGAAGACAGGTCTGTCTTGAGGCCCTTGCATGTCACTGCAGAGGAAGAATGGAACTGCAGATCTGCAGGGCACAGACATGCACCTTAGGGCTATCTGTACAGAGGTCAGAGGTCCCAGGGTCAGCTCTGCCTAAAGCATTAGGGTAAAAAAAAAAAAAAAATCCATTAACATTAAAGCAGATATACTTAAAAAGTAGAATATAACATCCCTGTAATTGAAAAAAACCCCAAACCTCAAAGGATACAAGTGTGTATGGGTTTATAAGTAGCCCCTCCTCTGCTGGGACCCTGCAAGGCAAGGCGAGTTTAGCTCTCTGGAAGGGTAGGTAGGAGTCCAGAGGATGTGGCAATAGAGCAAGCCATCTGTTTTAGGGAACTTCACAACTGAGTGATGCTCTATGTCCAGCCCCAGGCCAAGAGCCAGGGAGGAGCTCACTGCAGCCTGGGCTTCCAGGAAATTCCAAACCTAATTAACAGTGTCTGTCCCTGCACAGAGGTACCAATGCAGGCACCATTATGGCTAACATTATACTAAACAACAGTCCCTGATTCCCCCTTAAACTATAATGTGGGGGAGGCACTAGTACACAGCCACTCACATAATTCCTTTTTTTCCTAACATTAAAAGTTTCAAAATTCCATAATAGAATTTTGATCAAGTTGCTTCTGTTTTTAAAGATGGATATGTTAAAAATAGCTTACAACTGCCATAAGCCTCATAGAACACAGAACATTCCCTCAGCAGCTCTTGCCAACTCCTGGCATTCTCTCTGACCGTTAGTCCTACCCTGCCAGCTGAGACAACATGTTCTGAGAATGTTCTGTTGTGACTAGAAGGCAGAGGTGGCCCAGCAGATACCCTCAATTATGGCATACAAGGAAATGCAGGAGGATGGGGTGCATCGACCTGGGGCTCAGTGAAGACGACCATTTTTATAATAGGAGAAAATAAAGCAATAGTGAATTTATATATCATTTCCAAATAAAATCTCTTCAAATATTTTCACAAGAAATTTGATTTGGCTCCCATGAACATGATTTTTAAAATAACAGCTATTATGCTTAAAATGATCACACTCAATTCTTGATGAAGTGTTAACTAATGCTCTCATCTAGCTTTTGATGGTCACCCATGAAAAAAAGTTTATTTTTGTTGTGTTTTGCACTGTTATTTTTTTATACTGATATCTTATTTGGTTCCCCTATATTCCTGCTCTAAGTGAAACCATCCAGTATCTTTCTTTTTCCTTCTGGCTTATTTCATTGAGCATAATCCCTTCTAGCTCCAGACAATTACAAACCAGAGACATCCTGCAGGAGAGGAGGCGGGAGAGGGATCAAAGGGAGGGAGGGAGGAGCACAGGGGACTGAGGTGATGGAGCACAGAAGTGCATTGGGGAAGGAAATTCTATGGGGACTACACCTGAGGGGGTGGGTGGAAGCAAATATTGTTTAAAAATGAGCAATGATGTAAAAAATAAAAATAAAATGAAATAAAAGGCAAAAAAAAAAGCTATTAAAAAGTATTTTTAATACAAAAGTTTCTAATAGTTGAGATTATAGCTTAGCAGTCCATTTTTTTTTTTCATGGACATACATACAACTGATAATAAAAATGTGAGTGAAATTTGAACCCGAAAGATTTTTTTTTTTCAAGTGCAGTCTTTTGGGGCAGGAAGGCCCAACGCGGTCTCCCTACAGACAAGTTGGAAGTTGCAGCAAATACAGACAGATGTTTGCAATGAGTGTGAGGCTGGGACAAGGCTACCCCAGCCTCCAGGGGTCTCCCAGACCTTCCTGACTCAGCTCCACCCCTGCCTGGATTTCTGCTGTTCCTGGGACCACAGGGATTAGAAGTAGCTGCACACAGGAGCTGACAATCAGGTTTCCTGAAAATTTGTCAGTCAGTATTCAAAGTGACATTTATAAACTTAGAATTAAATTAATGATAGTAAAAATAAAGGTAGTAAAATTATCAAAACTTACCACAGGCTGATTATTCCACTATGTGATGGTAATCTATGCTCTTAAGGTTACTTCCATCTATGTGTCTGTGGGGTAAAAATGCCATGTGAGGGCCTCCCCTGGTGGCACAGCAGTCGAGCGCTGGGTTGCGAGGTTGCCCGCAGCCTCTACAGCGCCAGTTCGATCCCCAGCCACCAGCGAGGGTCCCACCAAAAAAAAAAAAAAAGCCATGTGATGGCATGTTACTGTGTCTGTCCAACTCTAGGTTCAGTGACATTGGCACTAAGACTGAACATGGATGGCAGTATTCATATCTCAGAATCCAGCAAACACTGCAAATAAGGATTTGATCTGCTTCTCTCTTTCCCCCACTCCCTCACACCAACAGTGGTCAAACATTTGTTTTTACATCACTGGATGTGCAACTGTAAGCGAATACCTTGAGGCTCAAGCTGCCCCAAAAGCTGAAGGGATTTGTAACTGCTGGTGGCTGCCACTGGGAAGCTCTACTTGCAGAACATTTGTTGGATCTTTATCACCAGGCGTGGGCCAGTGGCCATCTTGACACAAACTCTCATTTTACCTACAGTAAGAATCCATCTCCTATCAACAATGGAGCTAGCAGGAGGCTGAGCACCTTCTCTATACACTCAGGCTTGCTGAAGTCACACCATGCATGAGTACACAACCACTGACTGAGTAACCTTAAGGCTTCTTCAAGTCATCTAATACAAATCCAACCTCTAGTTATTCTTGTAGGGTTCCCATGGCCTAGGGAACCATGGAGAAATTTGTAAGGTGCTAAGAGGTAAGAGCCAGAAGAGAGGTAGAGACTCCAAGAAAAGAAAAAGTTAATTTGTAGTAAACAGAGGCATTACTGAGGCCTCTCACCCCACAGAGTTCCTGACTTACCTAGAACAAACTCATTTTTTTCTCATTCAAGGCTTACAGCTCTGTGCTGAGCACAGTTCTGGGGACAAAGGCCAGTAGTGAGCCAAATACACATTGACCTCTCCTCCTCAGAGGCTGCTCAGGGAGAGAAGGCTGCAGGCTCTGATACCAGGCTGCTCGGAGTTCAGGGTGTGCCATTTGTGATTTTCTTGGCCTTGCGCCTACCACTACAAACCCTCCAGGTATCAGATACCATCAACTCTTGTCTTAGAGAGGAGCAAGCTGAAAGCACAAAATTTTGCTGTTAGCTTAGTATGTTCCTCACGAGTAACTATACTGCTTCTCAGGATCAGGTATGTGCTAATGAATTCACATATTTGAGTCAAGTGTGTACCAATGAAGAGTCTTAAGACTCCCCCCTGGCCAGTCCAGCACTGAAGTACATTTTTTTAATGCTAGCTTCCGCTAACTGACCCCTCAGAGTATTTGTCATCACAGTGTGTAATACAGCCCAGCACTTGTGGAGTTAAACACAATGGGGCTGTTTCTCCCTGGGACTATGATGGAGACACCAAGCCCATTTGCAAGGGACAGTTCCAGGAGAGGTCCCAAGGCGGTATAGCTTTTAGGTGAATCCTTTGCATATACTATGTTAACTAGATATAGAAAATTCAAAATTATGGCTTTAGTTCTCAAATGTCCTACTGCAAATAGAGCCTAACCTCTCTAGAAAAAAGACTGGGTAAACATGAACATGACTAATTCTGGTTCCACTCCTACCTCCATGGGGCCCTAAGGCCACCTCTCAAGGGCAATGTTTGGATTCAGGTCAAAGACAATCCAGATTCCTTAGGAACACACAACTGAAGACAGAGTTCCTCAGGTTTTTAAAACTTTTGCCCATTCTTATAAAACAAAAAAACAAGCTCTCCTTATTTGAAATTTCAAAATAAATCATGACTAGAAGCCACAAAAGGTTTGAAAATGTTCTCCACACCTCAGCCTCACCCCTTGCATTGTTAAGTATCACTTTTAGAAGACTAGCTAAGGGCCTAAGGGTTTATTACAGTGTAGGTTTAGTACAAGCCAGAGAAGGCAGCCTGAGCCTGCCCTTGAGACAAGGCCCTGTCTCAAGGCCCCAGTGCACAGGCAGGACTGAGTGGGCGGGGCAAAGTCTACAGGGAACCTGACAAGCAAACAGGACAGTTACCTAGAAGACTTCACTTAGACTATAAAAGGCATTCCTGAGACAAAGGTTTCACTTCTTCGTGTTGACTGTTAATTTTAAAAAACATGTGCATCTTTTAGAAGTGATAACAGGTATTGAAATTTTAAAGAAAATAGCTGTATTTTTCAGAAAAGCCTGCCTAAGTAAGGGTGAAATTATGATACTTGGGATTACATTTACTTTAACAAAGGAACAAAAGGATAGAGGAAGCAAACATGGCAAAAATCTTGACAATGGTTAATATGGGTGGTAGGGTTTTCTTGTATTATAATTTAAAAAAAGAAGTAAAACAGTAAATGAAGGCAATCAGCTTTCTTCTTCAGCTGCTGGAATTTATGCAAATAATTACTTCAGTCACCTTTTGTAACAGCAAATGCTTGCTGTTCACATTTAATAATCACACACTGGTTTCCAAGCTTGGAAAAGTCACTTCCTCAATTTAACCTCTATTCTGTCAACAACAATCATTAAGGATTATCAGAATGGAGGAAGGGAAGAAGAAAAGTGAAAGGAAGAAATGAGACAACACTGCTCACACAACACTGGGGTGGAGACCAGGCTGCTCCTCGAGGGACAGAGCAACTTCTAGATTGTCTTCTCACAGGAGCATGACACATTCCCCCTGAACCAAGAGATTCAAGCTGGCTCTCAGCACCACCTCTAAAGAGGCTCTTAGGTTGTGATCCATGGATCTGTGATACAGTTTTAACTGTGCAGGGACAGTTTTCTAGAGAGTATTTGGTCTTCCTTGGATTCTCATTCATGAACCAAAAAGCTAGAAACCTCCGCTCTTAATTGAAGAGACTCTGAAAGCAAACAGGTAAGACTGAAGCTCCAGCTACAGGTTATTACAAGAAAACGTTTTTATTTAAGAACATCTGATACTTTTGGAAATGGTCCTGCTCAATTCAAAAAAGTCTGATTGATAGCCCATCTCCAACATCCACAAACAGAGCAGCTTAAGTCTGCAGACAGTACAGGTTCTGTCTACAGCTGGTTCTAGTTCCACCACCCCACATCTTATCCAGGGGCAGGCTGCTTAGTCACACCAACCCCAAACCAACTTCACAGATACAGGGAGAATGAGATCCTCCATTCCCAGGCTAACACTCCTGTTGGGAGACGCTAACAGTAACACAGGTGGAACTATAATGTAGACACAAACATTTATTATGACTGCGACCAAAGTCAGAGAAAGACATTATGACCTCGGTGTCCTAGCGGTCCTCCCAGACTCAATGACAACACAGCAATGGTTGGGAAAAGGCTAGCAATCCTTTATGTTATCACGTCATGATCTCTCATCATTCCTGGGAAGGAAAGTGCCTCTTGGGTACCGCATGAATCTTCAATAGCACATTTTCTTGTCCTTTAAATAAGGACAAATTCTCTCTCACCAAGAATATCAGCTATTTTTTTTCTTACAAACTGTCAGGAGGAAGGCAGACAGGAGCATCTTTTAGTTTTAATTATCTGTGGGGTCCCAAGATGTGGGTCAAAACCTCTCCAGAAAGGAGAAAGGGCTTCTTACTACTCTTTCCACTGCACAGACTTTTTCATCTCAGCTGAAGGTTTGAATCAATATCTGGTCTAACCCACAGTGTGAAGAACGCTCTCTAAGAGCATATGCTCTTCTCCATGAAGGGCTGTACTCCTGTCAGCGTCGGAGCCTCAGAAAGAATGCATGTTTACACTCTGTACTCTCCAAGGGGTAATATTTATCATAAAAATCTAAAACATATTCTTCAGTCTTGAATCCAAACTTCTGGTACAGCAGCATAGCGGGGTTGCTTGCTGAGACGTGAAGGGTCACATCCTTGCCCATGCAGGTCTGCCAAAAGGGTGGAAAAATACAAGATAAAAATGAAAAAGCCTGAGGGAAAATGAGTAGGTGAGGAAACTCTTTTAAGTATAGGTAGTTAGTTATGGATACCAGAGAAATCAGAGACTGTAGCTGAGACATTGCAACACCTAGCAACAACTGGAAACAGAATGACTTTTTTTGGGCTGATCAAAACATTCAAGAAAACATTCATCAAGACTAAGAAAATTGGTAGTATTCTGGGTGGTTTTTTTCTCTGAAGCAAAGGCCATAGGAAATATTTTATTGTATACTTCATTGATTTATAACTCAATTACATTTAAGTATGTCAAATATATAAATACCAAATACTATGATAATCTTGAAGAAACAGAGAACAGGATGAGAAGTTATGCTTTTTATAACTAAATGTTACCCTACATCCTCATAGTTGTAAAAATTCTCTTCCTAGATCTACTAAAAACGATGCTAAATTACGTTGCCAGATATGAAATATTGCTTTTCTTTTAATTACAAAACCTGAAGACCCTGTGTGGACCTTTTGAATTCCAAAGTCCAACTTCCATGCCTTCTAAACTAACACAATTAGCTCCTCAGAACTGAAATTTCTATGTTTAGCTCAACTTAGGGGAAAAGAGGAATAATCACTCTATCAGTACAAACCCTTAAATTCATTAATCAGTGCACAGAATAAAGTATGCTGACAGTCATATAAATTAAGAATTTGCTTTTTAATAAGGAAGGTGTTAAAATGCTAAAGTGGACACTGTCCCTGAAATTTACAATTACTAGATCCACAAGGCCTCTATTTAAGAACTCCTCTGTGAAAGCTACCACCTTCTTTCTCCGCTTCATTTACACTCTGCATTCAGGCATCTTTGTGAGAGGAGAGAACTACCAATATACTGACAACGAAAGTGTTATGAATATAACATAGACATGAATCTTGTGAGATGATACTAATGCGCTTCACACTGAATATACACATGGTCTAACCATGGCAACCACCGAGTACTGCTGACTAAGGAGAACTGTGTCTGGGCCTGGGGTTTATGATCTGCCTAGGGGCCAAGCACCCACATACTAATACAAAGATGAACAATCCTCCACCCAACCAGTGCAAGTTCAGTAAGGACTGACTGCCAGGCCTTGTGTTGGGTAGTCACATCAAAATGTCATCCCTGCCCTGCCCTCAGGCCCTTGCAGATGAAGGGGAAGGCAGGAATTCTGTAAATGTTTTGCTAAGATGCACTGATGATGACAGAATAGAGGCTGATTCTCTGACTGGGGAGTGGGGGGAAAAAACAGAAATAACTGAAGTCTCAAGTAAAGATAACATGATAAGGTAACACATATTAACTGCCAATGAAGAGTAAAGAAAGCAAGTACTAGGAAGATAATTCTAAGGTTCCTACCATCATTTGGGAATTACTAAGTAAGTTTCACCAAAAGTTGGAAAAAAACCACTTTATCATCTCCATTCTCTATTAAAAAGGAATCTTGCCCACATAACACACAATCCTCTATACTAAAAGGTTTCTAAATAAAAGTTACCATGGAAATTTTGGAAGGAAAAACCTTTGCATGTTTTTTGGATGTTATTTTGTTTTCAAAGGAGTTACAAATATATCAAAAAATGACTTATAATTCAGTATTTAAATCAAGTCTCAGAAGATTCATACCAGATTATACAATGATAGCAAAATTAAAACAGTCAGCAACAACAGAGTATGTCTGAATGATTGTTTTGCTAAAATGTCTAAAAATCAGAGCGGTGGTGACTCTAAGAGCAGTGCTGGTGACCAACATGGACAGTGTGAGTTCGTTCAGTTCTCACTTTTGGTACTTTCTCATTTGATTAGCAACACATGTTCACAAACTGGTTTCTTTGAAACCTGGATCTAAACAATAATCTTATTTTAGAGAGGTAAAGATTTTTGTCTGTGTGCTTTAATAACCTCTGGAATAAGGGCAACTGGCTTTCTTTCATTTGATTTTCGAGGCAACCCATTCCACTGGGCCATATTAGGAAGGATCAGTTTCATCCTGTTTTCAAGGCTTTCAAGGCAGCCCAGAGCAAGCCAGCAGAAAACTTACCTGAATCAGATGATAAATCATGAAAGTCGCAATTCCTGCTCTTCTCCATTCAGGGTGGACAAAGAGAAATGAAATGTAAGCTTCATTGTACTTCACATCAGGAACCATGAAGCCAAAGGCAATGATGACTTTTTTATACAGGACAACAACACTGAAGTCTGGATACTGCAGGCACTCAGACAGGTCAATGCCTAAAGAAAAGAGATTGGAGATTCAAACTGTGCTTTTTTAGAGTTAACGAACATCAAACTGTTTAGTCTGTACTTACAGCTACACCTGGATGCTAAACAAAAAACAAACAACAACAATAAATGGACACAAAGATATTACCATAAACACTATACATTCAGATCATTAAAAATAAAAGTGTATTTTACAAACTAGCAAAGTTAAAATAGTCTTTTCTAAGCACACGTGTTAAAAGAAAACAAGTAGGACAGGGTGAGTAGTAAAGAGCCACGTGTTCAGAACTGGAAACACCTGGCTTTGAACTCTGTTCTCTGGCAAATGTGTGTCCGCTGACACATTTCCCGGCTTCTGCACCAGATAAGCACACACAGAGACCTCACAGAGTGGGGACCCGAAAGTGTCCATATCGGTACAGCCTTTACCTCACATATATATATAATTTATAAGCTATTTTGTATAAATGATACATGTTACAATAACAGGTTAAATAAAGAATGATTCCAGGCATAACATAAGAAAAGTACCCAGCGCAGGGACAGGAAGTAGATGCTCCTGTATGTCTCTTTCAGCCCCTATATCACTCCCAAAAGAGTAAGCACAACTCTGTCACCACATGCATTATTACATGATAACAAGAGGAAAAGGATGACACAGTTCTTATCCTGATGAAATCTCATCTAGAAGACATGTACTATTTCCTTTATATTTTAAACATAGAATGGTAAAGCAGATCCACAAAGAATGTGTTTATATTTAGTAGGGAAATGTGTTCCTTTAATTAATGGCTTTGGTCTTCAAAGACGACACATTAAGGCTGATAAAAAGACAAGTCATATAGTTTATTCTTATTTTCAAAGCCTGTGATTGGGATATTTGACTTTTTATAAATACCTTTTGTCCATACTAACACTCTCTCTAAGGAACAATTAAATAATCACACAAACAGAATTATTAAGCAAAAATCAAGCTACCACTCTGTTTATCTTCGATAGACATTACCTGGAATCTAAACATATGTAGTAGAAGCAAAACAGGATAAATCTTTTATTCATTAATATTCAGGAAAAAAATGGTACAACAAACAAAAACACTGTTTATTACTTTGATTGCTGACTGCTTCTTCATCTTAGTAGTGGTTTATATTTTACTATTTCTATGTTAGTGGAGACCAACTAAAATAATCAGGTGACATGATAAAACATTAACTTAAAAATTCTAAAGTGACATAAACAGAAGACTGATCTGTCACTTTGAGAGAGGGAAACATACCAGGCCAGAAAAACTCCTGACACATTGAGTTTATCGTTGGTATGTGATTTGGCCGAACGTAGCAGTAATCGAGAGGTGCATCGGGCTCTGGTGTCCAGTGAGGGTCACTCTGGTGCAGGTGGGAACGAATCTGTGACAGGAGTTGCAGTTTGGGTGGCTTTGTTTCATAGTCACGCCTCCAGTACCACAGAAAATAAACAAATATAAGTCAAGAAAAATATCCAACAATATTCCTAGCCTTTTGATTTACACAAACTCTTTGGTGTGCTTGAAATTTTTACTAATTTGTACTACTTCATATGGCAGCTAATTTTCTAACAGCTATAATACTTTTCTGGTATGTAATTTAGAATTCACTCATTAAGAGTCACTGGACGATTGACTGCCAGAAGCTCTGCTAGGGGTAGTGATCCTTAATGAACAAAGGCAGTAAATACAAACAGCATCTTCACTTGACTCTGAGTTCTCCGATCCAGGACAAAGCCCAAGGGAGGGAAATTTAAATCAATGAGTGTGAAATCTAATAAAGTTAACATATCCTTATCCAAGGGCAGCTGAGGAGCACTAGAGACAAGAGGACTCTGAGGAGGCTGACACAGTGCCTGCCCAGGAAGGCAGCGCTGGTCAAGGAGGCCCATGGATTAAAACTGCAGAGGAGTACAGTCAGCTAAGCCAATGTGTTCTCTCAATCACAGTATGACTAGACAAGGGGCCTCTCTAGTTCCCTCAGCATCAACAGCACTGCTCAGAAAAGAAGCTCATCAGATACAAGCCCAGTTAAAACATCTCTGATTTTTTCATTGTACAAACTATTAAATATATATATCTTTAAAATTTTAAATAAATATGATAATCATCATGACATCTAACAATAACAAAGGACCATCTTTTCTGCAAAACAGCACTGTTGAAACAAGTAGAGGATGAGAGTGGACATGTAGCAGAGACTTAATCCTGGCCAATACCTACTCAGAGGTTTTGGTATTTGTTCACTCCAGCAAGGGAGTGGGGCACAGAAACCACAATATTCCTCATGGCATACTCGCCATCACAGCTTTGCTCCATGTACCTGATATAAGGTTTCAAGATCCGAGATGTATAAGGGCTGACAATACTTTGGTCCACAGCCATGTCTTCAGATCCCACCAAACGATACAAAAACTTAGTGGTCTGGTGCCTAAATCCTTTCCTTGATGGCAAGGCAGTCTATGAGAAAGAAACACTGGTTATATAAAAATAAAATTACCTCAAGGATTGGTTTGATTTCCACAGATAATATACTTATGACATTTTCAAGCATCAGAACATACATCATTTTACATTATTTATTTGGTAAGTTCAAGTTTCAACAGAATCTTCATAGGTGTCTTTGCATAAAATTCCATATGAAAGACTAATTACAGTTGAAAGAGTTTAAAATAAAAATGTATTTTTTTTAATTTTTAGTTATTTAAAATATTTTAAATCCCTGAATGAAATTTCAGATTGAACACTGGATTTACAACTTCTCTAGGTTCCATTTGTCTATATTATGCCTTCAATCCATTCCCTGAATATTAATCAGCACTAGTATCAAGCATGTAACAAATCCATGGGTCATGTTTTATTAGCAGTCTCCGTTATCCACAGAGCTTCAGGGGCCAGTTGTTGAACCTGTATATGGGTTTAATAAGACATGTTTCTATTCCAATGAGTAAATATAAGTAGGACAGATGTAGATCATCATCATTCAAACAAATCACCATACTGGCGACGCCAGAAGTTCAATGATGTGTTTTTTAGGAGGGTCCTAACAAACTGAGAATCCAACTGGAGGTGTCTGTTCTCCAGCTGAGTGCTGGTCTACGGCCCTCAATCATGTAGAAACAGAACACATGCCAATTAGGGATTTATAGCAAAAAACTCAGATGAAAGATTAAAGGGCACATTATAAAGTGGTTTGCATCAGGGGTTGGATGAAGTTTAGAAACTCAAGTTGTTTTTGTAGAATCAGTTTGCTCTTAGCCTAGAAAATAACTTTGTTGGAAAGAGTGAGAATTTCTGCTTTGATAATATACTCTCATTACTTTCCCAAACTGGACACCAAAACTTTCAAAGACCAACTGTGAAATTCTTCCAGGATTTTAAAATAAATTTCAAAGTGAAATTCAAAGCTGTGGTATGCAGTTTCCAAATATGGCAACCAACACTTCCCCCGCTGCCTGTGGGTACAAATGGCTCCTCACATCAAAAGGCAGAGTCAACCTCTGCTTTGAACCTGGTTAGGCATTGTGATAGGCTTTGGCCAATCAGAAAGTGGTAGAAGGTTTTCATTCTGAAACAACTGAGCCCAGGTCTTAAGAAGACTGGCAGCTTCCATTTCTCCCTTTCCAATTCTGACTACTCTGGTGTCCACACTGGGCCACCGAATGACGAGAGGCCACATGAGGACAGCTTCTACAGGGGGACTCAGGTCCTAGCTAGGAACTGAATGTAGCCACATGTGACCCCTGCTGACAGCACATAAGTAGAACTACCACCCTGGCCATCCGAAAGGATTAGACTATTAAATAGTTACTGTTTTAAGTCACTAAGTATTGGGGTGGTTTATAACATAACTGAAATACTACTGAACCACTGGCCCATGATCTACTATCTGGCTAACGTTTCCAGGTTTAACTTCTGTGGAATTCCATAGATGTTAAGCAGTAACCCAACTTATTTTCATCTCCACTGCTTTTAAACCACCCTCACCTTCTGCCTGAACCACCACCTCTCAGTCTTCCTGCTGCGACTCTGATCCTGTATCATCCATTCTCCACACAGAGCAGATTCACTTTCCTTGATCAAAACCCCGACGCGGCTTCTGTATGTGCAGAACACAGCTCAGCCTCCTCATTCATAAGCTGTGGGGGTCCGGCCCCATTAACTAAATGACCTTCTCTCCCACAACCTCCCTCCTCGACCATCATTGTTCCAGCCCCATAAACCAAACGAACTCCTGCCTTAGGACCCACACCTGGGCTTTCTTTCTGCCCTGAATCTTCTTCAGACTGAGTCACCCTGTGGATCAGGATTGGTAGGCGTGTTACCTCCACAGAAAGGTGGTCCGAAGTGCTGCCATGGCCCTCACTCCATGCCACTGCAGCGCTGCTCTCACAGGAAGTGATCCTGTGTATTTAAGCAGTTAGTCCTGTCATTTGCCTGCTCATGAGATGGCAGCTTCATAAGGGCAGAGACCTTCTCTGTCTTAATTCACTAGAGTATCCCTAACTAGTACAGTGCTTGGAACATACAAAGTAACCAACTTACATAACTTACATTTGTTAAATGACAAAATGCTGGGGGCGGGGGGTTGGAGGAAATCATCCTAAAATGAAATAAGTTTGGAAAATATGAAATGAATTTCTTCAAACTATTAATTCTAAGCAAAATGGGTGGATTGCTGGGTCCCTTCCCCAAACCTAACTTGGGAGAATGCCACAAGAAGGGAAGATGGAACACAAAGGTGATGAGAAGCCCAGTGAAAAGCGATTGGGTACAGGTCAGAACAAAGTGCTGCCTAGAGCAGACAGGCTCCGCACCACTGGCTAGGGGAGCAGGGTGAGGGGAGGAGAGGAGCTTCCAGATTAGGCCAGATCTCTGCCAGCAAGCATCAGCTAGAGAGGCAATGATGTTAGAGCAGCACTGGAGCTTTCCAGAGGGGGAGCTCCTGAGCATTCCAAAATCCCAAGCAATAACCAGAAGAGGGAGCTAAAAAGGAGCACTGGGGCCCTATGTCCTGGGAGCATCCCTGAGAGGTAAGGTTGCCTGATTGTGGAGAAAGATGAGATTGGCTGAGCCCAGGGACTCCCTTCTTATAAAATCTGCCAAGAGCGTAACCAGCTGGGAACTAGGCTTTTGCTCTTTTGCTAGCTATTACACTATCAGCAAAGGCAACATATAATACTAAGGGAATATCCATTCACAGGAAAAAAATTCAAGACATGTAAATAAGGAATGCAAAACAACAAAAGGATAACAAACTAAACAAACTGAATGGAAAAGGCAGAATTAATTTACCAGACAGACAAAGATATTTAAAAAGCACAACAGACATCAGGGAAATGCTAATCAAGACCACAATAAAACACATCACTGAATACTCACAAAGATGGATATAATCAAAAAGACAGGTAATAACAAGTTTTGGTAATAATACATGGAGAAACCAGACTCTTCATACACTGCTGAGAATAAAATGGAGTAGTCATTTTGGAAAAAGTCTCACAGTTCTTCAAAAAGTTAAACATTATGTTATTATTTGATGCAACAACTCCATTCCTAGGTATGTACCCTAGAGAACTGAGAACATGTCCACACGACAACTTGAACACAACTGTTCACAGCAGTATTATTCATAACAGCGAAAAGGTAGAAACATCCCAAATATCCATGAGCTGATGACTGGATAAACAGTGTGGCATAATTATACATTGGTATATTATTTAGTCGCATAAAAAAATGAAGTAGGGGCCTCCCCAGTGGCCTAGGGGGTAAGTCTTAGTGCTATCATCACTGTAGCCTGAGTTCGATCCCCGGCCAGGGAGCTAACACACATGGCAGAGCAGACCTCTCCAATTTGCCTGCTGCTCCCCTTAGCAGTGTATTTCAGTAGATATGCCTGTTCTGCTCCCTACTCTGTTTCTGGCGAATCCTCTCACCCTCTCCCACCTCTGGCCTGCACCCCAGTTCTATGTGAAAATAAATAAAATCTTTTAAAAAAATCAAGTATAACACAAATCTTAAAAACATTATGCTAAGGGAAAGAAGGCAGTTAGAAGGACCGTATCTTTTACGATTCCATTAATGAGATATTCTACTAATAAGAACAGAGAAATTACATAAATGGGGGAGCTGTTGTGGGGAGCTTAACAAGTAACAGCAAAGGGTTTAGGGTTTCTTTTTATGGTAATAAAAATGTTCTAAAATTGTGGTGATGGATACACAACTCTAAGTATCTGAGAAACCACTGAGACTTTAACAATTTAAATGAGTGAACTACATGGTGTGTGAATCTCTATTGATATTTTTTTTTAAAATCATAGTATATAGGCCCAGAGGTAATAAAGGAAGTGGAAAGAGCATGAGCATTTATGAAGCACTGCTTTACTCATGACATACTAAATACATCATTGAAATAGAGGGCTCAACAAATGATTTTTAAAACCCTACATAAAGGCAATGAAAGAGGCAGAGGCATGATGGTTTCAATGTCCATATTAGGAGTTCAGAAGGGGAGTGGGAAAATAGGAAATATACTTAGAGAATCAGTGATGAGGAATTCTGCAAACTAAAGAAGTGTAAGAGAACTGCAGGTTTCCAGTCCAGCATATCAGGAATTTGGAAATCATCACTCTATCCTAATAATTGTTCTTAGATCACCAGACAAGTAAGGTCACAAAGCAAACCATTGTCCTCCAAATTGTAAGAGAAAAGAGGGTACAAAGAACCACAAGTATTAGAGTGAGAAACCTTAGGAACCAGTAGGTAGGCAAACCTAAACTGTAGTGGATGAGTTGCTGGAGGCTAAGTGTGGACAAATGTGAGAAACAAAACTGTGGGGTGTAGGGAGAGGGAGCTCTGCCAGGTTCTCACAGTGAAGATCAAAGAAAAATCCCCTCATGCTTCTGCATGGGAAGGGAGAAAGCAGTATTTTGAAATATGTCAGCGCATTCTGTTATTCTTCACAAGATCTTGCCCTCAGTGGAAACTATTTTGCTAGAACCTTATCTATTGGGATTTTATCAGAACCTAACCAACCTATGGGAAGGAAAATATGCAAACCAGCCCCCTCTGGCCATCCCATTCCATCTAGTTGGGAAGAAAAAACTGCAAAGCACTTGTAAAGTTCACAGACCAGGAACACAGGCTTACTAAAGAATGAGAACTAATCACAGGATTGTAGAATCCTTTGAGTTTTTTCTCACCCTGTACCTTACCACCTCACTAACAGCATATTTTCCACATTTCCTTTTACCAGTACAAATCTAGCTTTCAACAAAATATTACAAGGTATACTAAAAGGCAAAAAAAAAGTCTGAAGAGACAAAACAAGCAAATGAACCAGATTTAGATATGGCAGAGATGTTGGAATTACTAACTGGGAATTTAAAATAATGGTTAATATGTGAAGAGTTCTAATGGACAAAAACAGACAGTATGAGAAAACAGATGGGTAATTTAAGCAGGAAATGGAAGTCCTAAGAAGGAATTAAAGAGAGATCAAAACACTGTAATAGTAATGAAGAATTATCACACTGGTCATCACAAAGAAGAGAATCACTGAGCTTAAGGATATGGCAACAGAAAACTGAAAAGCAAAGAGAAAAATGACTGAAAAAAAATTGAATAGAACAGAATATCAAAAAATGCAGCGCAACTGCAAAAGGAATAACCTATGCAAAATGACAATACTAGAAAGATAAAATATTTGAAGCAACAATTGTTCAAGTTCTTATTTGGCTTTAATGATACAACAAAAGGACTTTAGAGAGAAATCCAATCAAGGTTCAAGCTAGGAATATTTATTTGTGGTTCACCCAATAGGAGAGGGGTGGCAACTGCCCTGAGAACACTCTTCACCTCAGAGCAGCAGCGGTCCTAGTTTTATTGGGCTGATCACCAGGGTGGGGAAAAGGAGAAGCAGGGGTACTGGCTAGCCAGGGTTTTGAGGTTTTCAAAACAAACAAGGACCAGGTTCCAGGGGTTCTGTAACATAATGACTGAGAATTCCGCAAATTAATCAGATACCAGAGCACAATCACAGATGTAGAAAACGCAGAGAACACACAGGATAAATGTCAAGAAGCATGTAAGACTCCTCTGACTGAAAGAATAGTTGTCAAGTAAACTAAACATGAGTAAAAATACTTAAAATGAAAGGATGTATTAAAGATCAAATACAAAGAGAAAAGGAGGCCACCTAAACAAAAAGAATGAGACTGAATTGAGACACTCAGGGACATTATATGCTAGTACTCACCTGGTACCGGTCAAGGATTCTGAAGTCTTGACAGGTTGTTCTATACGTGGCTTGTCCAGCTGGAAGCCGGGAAACTCCTTCTTTGGCTCCATAAATCCCATCAACTAACAGCAGAGCAGCATTAACAACTTGATCCAAGTCAAAGAGAGGTAATCCCCGATCCCTTTTTGCTTGTCTGACTATCAATTTACGCTTTAGTCTCCGAGCTTCTGGTGTCATGGCAACAGCACTGGGACAAGCTTCTAGCCTCTTAAGGAGCAGCTTTTCCTCGTAGATGCTCGCAGGGGTGTACTTGGGCCCTTTAGGTTTCCTGTCCTTTTCCAATTGAGGCTTCCTCTTTTCTCGAGCTCTTGTTTGCAAGGATGTATTGGAATCTGTATCTTCACTGTCAATGTCCATCCGGTCGGGTTTTTCCTCCTCACTCTCTACTTCTTGCTTTATCTGTTCAGGTGCTCTGACCTTCTTTCTGACTCCAACCACTGTCCCAGAAGTGGCTGACCCAGCTGGAGGTGGAACATACTCCATCCCTGGGTCTATGACTCCATCACCTTCTATCTCATCATCATCTGTGTAGAGTACAAAGTAGCGTAGTAAGATACAGAAAAGAAAACACGCAGAGCACCCTGCTCACAAGGTGGAAACTTACACATTTATATTATGACCACACAGGAAGTAAAAGACCTAAGAAAGGTAACTCTTACCATGAAATAAGGCTTGTGGTGGCATCACATCTGGAATCAGATCTGCTTCAGAAAGCAAGCTAGGTGTGGCTGAGTGAGAGGCAGGGGTTCCTGGGGCAGAGAAATCCAGAGATGGAGAAGGAGATGGGCTTGTCAGCGGAGTACGGTCAGAAGAACTCAAGGATGAAAAGTCAATCACTTCTCCTTTTTCAAGAATTGAGTCTGTCCTGCGGCCTCGGCTTATGAATTTTACAGGGGTAGAAGAAGTGCTCCTGTCAAGAAAGCCAGCTGCTTCCTTCTGGGCTCTTCTAATGTCTTTGGCTTCTTGAGTACGAGACCTTTTCTCCTTTAATTCCATGGCAGATTCCACAGGATTCCGACTCGCCCTTTTTCTAAGTCCTTCAACTGTAATGATGGGATCCAAAGTTGGTTTTGAGGCTGCAAGAAAAGAATAAGTATCTAAAAAATTTTAAGTAATTATTCAAATTTAGTTTCTTTTGCTAATTTATTTTTACGAGCCTACTACCATGATCAAAATAGAGAAATGTTCAATGAATGCCCTAAACTAAGTCTTGGCTATCCTTAACAAGAAAAGGAAATTGGTATTAGTTGCCACTGTCACCTGCCCTGATCTCTCTGAACTCTAGCGGACGAGCAGGGGGGCAAGTAAGGAGGTCTCTATACCATGGCTCATACCAAGCAGGCTGCCTATGAATCTACTGGTGATAAAACACAGAGGAAGAAACTGGCTACAAAAGCCACTTGCAAGAGTGCATCCCCTACTGGAGGGGTGAAGAAACTTTATCATTACAGGTCTAATTTTTTGGCACTCTGTGAAATCAGATGTTATCAAAAGTCCACTGAACTTCTGTTTCACAAACTTCCCTTCCAACATCTGGCGTAAGAAATTGCTTCTTCCAAGATGTGCACTTCCAGGGCAAAGGTAACATTACTTTGCAGGAGGCAAGTGAGGACTATTTGGCTGGCTTTTTTGAAGACACCAACATGAGTGTTATAAATGTCAAACCATCCAGCTAGCATGCTAAATAGATGTAAAACATGCTTAAGAATTCAATGTGATGGGAAACATTTCATTCAGAAAAAAAATTTATCTTCTTCTTCTTATTACTGATAGCTCTGAATATTAGATATTTCTCCCCATGATGTCAAAATGTACCTGTGTACATTATTGCAAGTGGAAAACTAGGGGGCAGAAACTAGATAGAAGCAGTTTTCCCATTTCCATCGGTGTGTAAATTTTTAATATAAATGTGGGGACATAAAGTATTACTGCAAGTCAAAATGTTTCAGTGAACAAGTTTCAGAAATTCAATTTTATAACAATTATAAATAAAACAGCTCGATTTTTCTGGGCAATGTCAGCATTTGGATTTTCTTTAAAACAAGAAATTGCTTATTGACAGCATTTAAATGTTGCTTGTAGCATTTTTATCATACTGTAGATTCCATCCTCTCACTATACTTTTCAGAGTGGTCCTACATGCAAGTACATGTTTTTAATGTCGTCTGCCTTCCATGCTGTTCCTGTAAGTTTGTTATTAAAATATATTAAAATATAACAAAAAAGTAAAAAGAAAAAGGGAATTATAATGCAAATTTAAACAAATACTATCTTTCACCTACTGTAATTGATAAACATGAAAAGTTGACAATACTTAGCATTTGGGGGAAATGGGTATTTTTATGCCTGTTTTAATAGGACATAAATTTTATTACTATTTTTTGGAAAGTAATTTGGCAACACCAATAAAAATTTCGAATGAATATGCCCTTTGATATAGCAACCTGTTTCCAGGCAATTGCCACATAAAATTTGTACATGGACACAAACAATTATAACTGTAGTATTTTTTAAAATAGCAACAAAAAAGAACAAAAATACCCAAAATGTCCATCAACAGGAAAATGGTTTAATGAATTATAGTATAACATTTAATGGAAGACAAAGGAATAAAAGAACTTAAGGCAGATTTACATGTACTGTTGTGGAAGCATGTCGAAGGTATACTAGTAAGCAAGGGAAATAATGAAGAACAAGTATTATTTTTTTTCCAAAAGGAAGATGCTTCAATAGATAGAGATGGTTTCTAAAAGCATTCATAAATGACAATGGGAACTCTGCAAAGTAAACTGCAGATAGAGGATATACAAGGGAAATTTCAGTCTTTATAGCCTATGGTATTTTTTTTTCCCCAATTTTATTTTCAAAAATTAAAGAACTCATTACAAAGGTTTCATAAAAATATCAGATCAACATGTAATAGTAAACATGATGAATTTTAAGTATAAGAATTATACATAAGTATAAGAATCATATTATGGTTAGGCCACCAAAAAAAAGAATTCTTATCTCTTAAAGATACATACTGAACTATTTAAGAATAAAATGTCAATGCCTGGGATTTATTTCTAAGTAATCCAGAGGGAACTGATGGAAGACTGGGAGAACATACTCAGGAAAATCATATTTCCAGCATTTAACTGTTGAAATGAATTGAAAGGTACATGGGGATTCATTATATTACTCTCTTCACAGCTGTTTAAGTTTAAAAATTTCCATAATAGAAAGTCTAAAAACAAAATTAGAATGAAAATAAAGTAGCTTTCAGACACCAAAGTGAGTCTATAAAACTGGCAGTTTGATTAGGAAATGTTTTTTGTATAATTATTTACAGCATATACAAAATTGCCTGCAGAGAGGCAGATGGGCTGGCTATCCCTGGCAAAGCTGGACTGGCTCCTAAATTCACACCTGCTGGGCTTCGGTCTGGCTCTCACACAGCTCTCACACAATACCTTTTACTTTCAAAGTAGAAGCAGACAACTTCTCTCCTTCAGGTTTCATTGTTGGGGGCCTATTGTGAACAAGTTTCCACCATCCTGGTTCTCCGAATTCCTGAGCGCCTGAACGGAAGTACATGGGACTTCCCACACTGAGACAACCTGCTACTGTGCTCCACCAGGTTGATGTCTTTTTCCTGGAGAGTCCAAGAGTTTTAAAATTATCGGCTTTTCAATTCCATCAACATTATATAAAATATACTCTATGTATACTCTATGACTCATAGCAATGGAACATCCAATATACGAAAGGAACAGAGCATGAGAGTCAAGAGAGACACTTTGGAGTCCATCTGGCTTTAAATCTGGGCTCTACTACCGTCCAGCTGCCAAAGTTTTTTTATCTTTAAAAGCAAGATAATAGAATTTACCTCACAAAGTTGCTGTGGTTATTAAATGAAATAACTCAAACAAAGCTTATAAAACACTTCTGATCACAATCAAGATGATTATGTAGTTCTGCAGACCAATTTTAATTAACTTGAGTTGCCATTATATGTGATTAAATACAGCTCTCCAGAAAGGAAATTTAGAGAATCATCAGCCACAGTAAGCAATTATACCCAAGGAGCTGACAGAAGCCATCTCTTGGTCTGGTCCTATTGCTTCTATGTAGTATGGTGGGAATAAAACTATATGGTAGGTCCCACAAAGAGTTGAACCTTAGAGCAATAACCAACACTGGCCCCCACAAGGGGCAAGCATTTCTAAATAATTACACAAAAGTACATATAGGGGCCTCCCCGGTGGCGCAGTGGTTGAGTGCTGGGTTGCGAGGCTGCCGGCAGCCTCTGCAGCGCCGGTTCGATCCCCGGCTGCTCCCCGGCCACCGGAGGAGGGTCCCACATGGCGCGCAGACCTCTCCTGCCACCCGCTGCTCCCCTCAGCAGTGTACCTTGGTCCCTCTTCCTGCTCTACTCCCTGCTCTGACTGGTGAATTCTCTCACCCTCCCGCACTTTTTTTTTTTTTTTTTTTTTATTAATTTTATTGTTATATTCCCCATACAATTGCAGCTCCCCCATTCTGACCCCAGTCCCTCCCCTCCCGCCTCTACCCCCCTAAAAGTGTCTCTGGTTCATAGTTTTTTGTTGATTTTGATTTTCACTTTCTTATAGTTATTCATTTTCCTGGTCTCTTATTTAAGTTTTCTAGATTCCTGCTATGAGTGAGACCATCCGGTATTTTTCTTTTTCTTTTTGGCTTATTTCGCTGAGCATGATCCCTTCCAGCGCCATCCATGTTGCTGCAAATTGCATGTGTTTATCTTTTTTGAATGCTGAGTAATATTCCATGGTATATATGTACCACATCTTCTTGATCCAGTCATCTATTTTTGGGCATTTGGGCTGTTTCCAAAGCTTAGCTATTGTAAACAGTGCTGCTATAAACATAGGGCACCCTCCCGCACTTCTGACTGTACCCAGTGCTTGTATAAATAAATAAATAAATAAATAAATCTTTTTTAAAAAGTACATATAACAAAAATTTTTAATTATGTATAAAATGTCAATTATGCAAATTTCTGTTGATAATTCTAAAGGCAACTGTTGTATTTTCACCTTGAAAACCTAAGGCAATTATCACAAATTCTTAAAAAAAAAAAAAAAATCTTTCATAAAAAGGAGAGTCTAATAGTTGAAAAATCTTGCTAAAAGGAAGCAAAAGGAAAAAGCATTCTTAGGAACAAAGATGTACTAGAAAATAGTAACTAAAAACTAATAGCTAGCAGCATGTTCTAAGAGGGAGAATGACACCTCAGCTTCACCCTGTACATACTGGTCTCACAGCACCTCTTCCACATTCTTGCCTCTTTCTAAGTTATCTCATTGTGGTTTTAAACTGTATCTCCCTTATTAGAAGCAATAATGAACATTTTCCCATGTATCTACTGGCCTTATGGATATACTTTTTGGTGAATTGTCTGATCTGCTGAATTTTAAATACTATGAATATGTTTTATCATATGTCATCAAATTTAAGATTCACTGAGTTTAAGATATGCTATTTTATTTACAGAAAGAAAATTAGCTATCCATTAAATTATCACACATCTTAGGGCCTCCCTGGTGGCGCAAGGGTTAAGACGCAACCTATGAAGCTATCTGCAGCTACTGCAGCACGAGTTTGACCCCCTGGCCTGCCAGGGAGCTACCCACATGGTACAGCAGACCTTTCCTGACTTGTCTGCTGCTCCCTTTAGCAGTGTATTTCAGTCCATCTGCCTGTTTTATTCCCCACTGTGTCTCTGGTGAATCTTCTCACTCCCCACACCTCTGGCCTGTATCCCAGTTCTTGTATGCATAAATACATAAATCTTTAAAAAATAAATACATAATCACACATCTTATTATAAGATGTATCCAGCTGTCAGATATCAAAACTTGGAAAAGTGTGCACCTTAAATAAAATATGGTAATAGAAAAAAGTAATCAAAAAATTCTTTACTAGTCACAGTAATATTCTCTATAACAATTCAGGACCAGAAGTCAGAACTGTAAAAGCAGATTAAATAGTCATACATAAAATGACAATTAAATGGTAGTTTGTGTGTACTTTTCAACTTGTTTCTACAATAGGTACATAAAATTATTTAGATTAGCCCTAAATAAATTGGTATACATTTAAATTTTAATGAAACATTAAAGGCATAAGAAAAAAAGCAGTAAACATCTGAAAGAAAAATATATTTTAGAACTGCATTACACAGCATATAGATTCTATGGCAAATAAGAAATTGTTATCATTGTTAAATATGACCTATGGACTTGTGTCTACAAGCCATAAACTCCAACTACTATAGCACTGCTTTATTTTTTAGTGCACTTATTTTTATAGTTCCATTCTATTTATAGTAAATGATAAGGGTTTTCTACTAACCATGGTAGTTTGAAGTTTCTTTTAAAAATGATTTTTTTTTCAAGAAGTGACTTGATACAAGTAAATGATAATTCAAGTGATATACCAATAAGGCTAGAAACCACTAGTTTAATGATTAAACTATATAGAAGTTGCAGAGTAATTAATGCCTTTCAGTAGAAATATTAAAAAGAAAGGAAAAAAAAAACAAAAACCTGAGCTGATTTCTCTCAGAACAAGCTCTACAAATGAACAAATGAAACAACTGAAGAACTTGGTTAAAATACAGCAATATACTTAAAAATAGGCTATTTAAATCCAATCTCTTCTAGAAGACAATCCACTAAACAGAGCAGCACTGACAGATCATAAAAACATTCCAAGATCTAATTTTAACAGTTTTTTCCCTTTCTTGTCCCTTATAAATGGGGTATATTAAGTTCCATAAATAGTGCTACATCATTAAACTAAGACAACAGATTTCCTTTCTTTAAGAAAAAGAACCAGTTATACTGTCAATTCTTTTCTTAGTACTACTAAATAACTCAAGAACAAAAATAACTCCTTTTGTAAAAATGTACTAATCTATTCTATTTTTTCCTCACAGCAAATCTTCAGAAGGTCACCCCTCCTTTCAACTGCCCTCCCTGAGCTCTGGCAACATTCACAGAGCTCTGACATCTCAGCATTGGGGAGAAACAAGGCTGTCATGACTTCAGAGTGAGGATAGGTACAAACTCCCTGCTCTGACCATCAGGTACTCAGAGCCTTTATCATGTCTACACTGATCCAAGTATGCAAGAATTATGAATATCACGTTGGATCTCAAAAAGAATTTGCCGATGCAGTGGCAAACTCACTAACCTTTAATAGTAATAAAAATCTTATTTGATCCATAAGGACCCTTAGTTAAAACACATGGTCTCAGTGTCTGTGCACCAGCATCCCTAAATCTGAGGAATATAAACAGATACCAAAGAAGAGCACAAGGCAACAGAATCAAAGCACTACCATGAAAAGAAAAATTAATAAGACATGTCTATTAGCATGCCTATACGCCACTATGCAATGTAGCACTAAAAAGTATAAAACAGTTTTTATCTTTCAGCACTAGGAAAAACAAGTACTAAGAACACAAGGCTCTCGGACCTCCCTGGTGGCCTAGGGGTTAAGTCTCAGAGCTAACACCACTATGGCCTGAGTTCAATCTCTGGCCAGGGAGCTAACCCACATGGCGCAGCAGACTTCTCCTGTCTTGCCCACTGCACCCCTTAGCAGGCGATTTCAGTAAATCTGCCTATTGTGCTTTCCACTCTGTCTCTGGTAAATCCTCTAAGCCCCTGCACCTCTGGCCTACACCCCAGTACTTCAATAAATAAATAAACAAACAAACAAATAAATTAATAAATCTTTTTAAAAAATAACACAAGGGGGCCTCCCCGGTGGCGCAGCGGTAGAGCGCTGGGTTGCGCAGCTGCCTGCAGCCTCTTCAGCACCGGTTGGATCCCCGGCTGCTCCCCTGCCACCGGAGGAGGGTCCCACATGGCGCGCAGACCTCTCCTGCCGCCCACTGCTCCCCTCAGCAGTGTACTTCGGTCCTTCTGCCTGCTCTGCTCCCCGCTCTGGCTCTGGTGAATTCTCTCACCCTCCCGCGCTTCTGACTGTACCCAGTGCATGTATAAACAAAACAAACAAACAAACAAATAAATAAAAACATGCCTCTATTTAAAAAAAAAAAAAAAACAACACAAGGCTCTATTAATGAAAAGCAATTTAAATGGGTACAGTTAATAACTGCCATTATCTTTCTTCTTCTGACCTCCTAAAATGCACTGATTTCAGAAGTACCTGATAATCCTGTATCCTCAGATGGTTACTCATCTATTAAACAGCCAAAACACTCTATTTTTTAACATTCTAGAATTTCTTCAAAATCTATACTCAGTAGAAACCAGTTTCCTCTGGAAATAAGATGAGAAAATTATGGAAAACTATACATTTACTAGTATACTTTCATTATGATTTTTCATAAACAAGTTTTTAACTTAAAAAGTAATTTTCAGGATTAAAAATTTCCCTGTTACTGCTGCAAGTAAATACTCTTATTCTCTAAGGATATGCATTAGATTGTGTCAAATCACATATACATCATCTCCATTCAGGTAAGATTTTTTTTTAAATCACATTACCTATTCCCCAGTAAAAAGGTCCAATGTTTCTCAATAAAAGCACAGATATCTTCTTTCCACCTGAAATAACCTTGACGCCCACTTCCTTCCAGAGATAAATTGTACATTGCCAACATGACAACCTGAAATACAAACAAATTAAGGGCTGGGAGATAAGCATGATTAAGGCTGTTTCCATTTAGAGGGAAAAGTTTGTTTTATATTCTGAGTAGGAATGATGGGGAACAGAGGGGATAAAAGAAAGGGTACTATCTTGGGATAGTCTGACTACTGAATTTCACTTCCTTTTTTACTTTTATTACATGAATATCATATTAAATGAATATCACTAATCCACTTTATTATGTGGAGCTGTTCCTTGCATGTTCACATAAGCAGGTCATGCAAGACTGATGTGTGGTTGAACTGATCATGAAAAATAAGCACTGTCCTAAGCAACCCCCTCCATCCTGGTAGCCCTGCATCATACACACGGTACTAAATAAACTTAACCATGGGACATCAAGAAGCTTCTAAATGCCTACTCCAGTCAGCATTTTCTGACTGACTGTGCCAAAATTTATTAAATATTTTGAAAATCACCCCTACATATAAACTTTTAAGCTATTTAGAGGGGAAAAACGAAAGACTCAGAATTTTAAAACTGAAAACATTAAGACACCATCTACTCAGCATTCGGACAGTTTTTAGCTGTGGAAGTCTTTGTTCACATGATATCAGCATTAGATACTGGGCAAGGACCCAAAAAGGTATGACTGTTCAACCCATTCTCAGAAGACTCCAAGACACTTCCTAGTGCTCAATGTGAAAACTCCTCATCTGGTCAAACCATGTTAGATAAATAACACATGTTCACTGTAAAAGATTTCAGTAAAAGGGAAAAAAAGCAAAGAAGAAATTAAAAATCACTTTAAATCCACCATCAAGAAATTATCACTGTGGGCCTCCCTGGTGGTGCAAGGGCTTAAGACACACAACCTATGAAGCTGTCCACAGCCACTGAAGCACGACTTTAATCCCCTGCTGGGAAGCAAATCCACATGGCGCAGCAGACCTCTCCTGACACGCCCGCTGCTCCCCTCAGCAGTGTATTTCGGTTGATCTGCCTGTTCTGTTCCCCGCTGTCTCTGATGTATCCTCTCACCTCCCACACCTCTGGCCTGTACCCCAGTTCTTGTATGCATAAATAAATAAATCTTAAAAAAAAAATAAAATATATGAAATTGCTCTTACTAAAAAAAAAAAAAGAGGGGCCTCCCCGGTGGCACAGCAGTAGAGCACTGGGTTGCAAAGCTGCCCGCAGCCTCTGCAGTGCCAGTTCAATCCCCGGCCACCGGGCTAGGGTCCCATATGGCACCCGCTGCTCCCCTCAGCAGTGTATTTCATCAGTTTGCCTGTTCTGCTCCCCAGTCTGGCTCTGGTGAATTCTCTCACCCTCCTGTGCTTCTGACTGTATCCAGTGCTTGTATAAATAAATAAATAAATCTTAAAAAAAAAAAAATTATCACTGAACATTTTCAGTGACTGTCCTTCCAGACATCTTTCTGCATCTACATAAAATTTTGTAGATGTAATTTTATGTAATGTTGAAACTATACAAGCTATTCAAAGCATGCTTGCAACCTAATAAAAATGACCGATTGGGGGCCAGTGATATTGAAAAGGGGACAGAGAACCTAAGAAAAGAATCCTTAATCATTTCCATCAGGAATATCCTGAAGTGATTGGAAATTCCTTGGGGGAACAACCTCGTGAATTCTACAGAAAGAACTTTTTACTCACTTGCTGCCACGTCAGCTTCAGTCTTTCGTACTGCTCCTTGCCATCTTCTGAGCAATCAGAACAGGTAAACCTAAAGAAGTTATCACCCTTAAGGTAACTGAGCTGATCCCTCAGCTGACCTAGGAGAAAAACAAGAAGGCACATCATAGTTTTATCTCAACCAGCGGTGGTATCTCAAAGGCTTAATCTGTTCAACCAGATTTTTCTAGTTTCACTTTTTTTTTTTTTTTTTCAGTCAATCCAAGATAGCATGATGGAGTGAGGGAGTAGATTTTTATTCTTCTAGCTTCAAGGGTATGCCCACTAAAATCTGTTGTCCCAAAAATCCCTACTGGATTTCCCAACTGTTAAAATGCCTGAGTCCTATGGGGGTCTCTTCACGCATTTTTTTCAAAAAATATGAGCTCACACCATGTATGACACTGGGGTCAGTACAGGGAATACAGTGCCCAAGATGGACACAGTGCCTACTCCTAGCGGTATACTTATTCTGAGAGGACTGCATACACTGTACAATAGCACAGTGCTTCTTTATTCTCACTGGGCAACAGAATCATCCAGACTTATTTTGTACTTTTAAATATGCCTGGGCCTACCCCACACAAAATGGATCAATCTCTGGAACTGGGGCAGGGGCCTTAAAATCTTTTTTAAAGTTCCCCACATGATGTTGATGCTCATGTTGACGAGACAGGAAAACCAGCAGTGCACCACTAGTGTGACATGCGCTGTAGGGAACATAAAAAGGGTGTTCAATCCGTATCAGAAAGAGAGCTAGAAAAAGAGAGGCCAGATGGGTGACAAAACTGACCAGGTGAAGAGAGGTACTTGTGTATTTGGAGAGATGGAGGGGATGAAAGCTATAAAGATGTACACTGCAGAGAGGAAATTAAAATGTGCAATGTTGCGGGGAAAAGAATTGATGGTAGAGAATTAATCACCCTTACTAAAGTTCCATTTACATGTGGAGATAGGATACTACAGAGAGCATAAAGAAGTTAGCAGGGGGAGGCCATGAAGGGGAGTTTCAAATCTGTCTTTTGAGAACAAGGGGAAAGCCTCTGAGATTTTCAAAAGAAACCTGAATTACTAAGCAGAGATAGCTCAGAAGCAAAAACTAGCTAATATGTAGGAAATTTTAGGCTTGTTTGGTAAGACTCAGGATGGCTGCTAAAGCATACTCCTTTAGAGCTGCAAAGCTGGCAGATGAAGTGTCCAGTTGAAGGACTGAGGGACCAAGGGAGATTTGGTGTATATCTCTGGCCAGTATATCAGAAGGCCAGCAAATGAAAGACAAGTATGGTCCTAGAAATAGGGCACAAAACACTTTTAACTGGTAATTCTGATCTACCATCAACATACAACAGCAGTTTTCCTGTAAGTTAAATATTAGCAGTGGTTTTTGGGAAATCTTTAATTCTAGAATGGGCCTAGAATTTTGTCCCAAATCCATGATCCTGCTAGAAAAATGTGTCTAATTCTTTAAGTAACACAAGATTTCCAATTTTCTAATATTTATTGGGTTACCATCAAGAACATTCATTTAACAATGTTGATAGCGGTTGACAGTATTTTTATTAGTACACATGTGTCTATTTTATATAAATTTATAATAAGCTAAACTAGTAATATAATAATCTTTTATTTAGGGCTCTTTTACAGGCTAGAAAAACAAACCTTCACATAGGAATTGACAAATCAAAGGAATTGAGAAGCTCCTTACTCGCCGGTATCCATTTTTGGCACTTGTCACAGAAGTAGGACAGCTGCTCCTCCATCCAGGACACATCTCCTTCATCACTGTTCAGTGAATCCCCACTCTGATCATGAGATAAGTCCACAGATGCCTGATCCTCCGACTCCACAATTAGGAGAGTCTCCCCTTCCACTTCACCCTCCTCCAGTCCTTCTGAGGTAGATGTTCTTGTGGCTTCATCATCATGCCGGCTTATCAAACTACTCAGGTGAATGTTACTATCCATCCCTCTCACAGGTGCAGAAGTGCTTTTCAGTAACAGTCCTAAGTTCTTGACACCAACTTTAAGGGGGTTTCTACTGGGATCACACAAACAGAAACTCTTCAGAAGAATAATTACCCAATTCTTTACTTACACATAATTTCTAAAGCAACTATTTAGAATACAAGATCCATTATCTCTTTTCTGATCATATTTAAAAGGACAGTGACAAAAAATGGTTGAAGAACTCACTAAGCTATTCTCCATCAACACACTCTTACACACAAACAAAATCAACACCATCCATCCCATCAATACTTCACATTCATTTCAAGTCATGTTTTTTGAGATTCTTTTGCCAATAACATCTTCTCTCTTTCTGCTTCAAGTTGCTCAGTCAAGATAATCTGTTCTCCCAAAAGACGAATATTTTCTTTTTTGCGATTCTGTCTCTCAATGTCTCTGATCACTCCGTCATGAAGTCTCTAAAAAATGTAAGACACAGACTTCAGTAATACCCTGAACAGGTGGTTCCCAGCCTTGTGCCGTTCAGATCCAAGTTACAGTGTCATGAAAATCATTTAAAACTTTCAGACTCCAAATACCCAAATACTATTTCAACTTTCTGTATGTATGTAAAATGTATAAAGAAATCATCAAATTAATCTGGTAGTGTACTATCTATCACATTATCACTGAAATGATGACTGAGCCATACTTTAAGAAATTCTTGAACATTTAGTATAGAAAGCTTAATGGGAAATAATTAAAAAAGAAAAAAACTGCCGCCACATTGCATTTTAAAGTGTTAACCACCTACTTTAAAAGAACTAATGTAACAACTTTGTTAAGTACTTTCCTGCTACCAATTAACTAAACAATAAACATCAAAGAAAAAAAGCTACTAAAATTTCAAACTGTAAAAATGCAATACAAAAACCTGTTTTTTCCTAGTATGTAAAGTGAAAATTACACAGAATTACTAACAGAGAAGGGGAAGGAATGCTACTACAAGAGGAAAAAGGAAACAAAAAGAAGGCTACTACCATAGAAATAAAGGTCCAACAGTGGTCATCACTTTGATAAACACTAAAGACAAGTAGAAAATTACAGAAACGTGAGCCTGGCACCTTAGATGAGCCTCTTTCAGGGTGGGGAATCCTAGTCTATTACAGACAAAATCTTAGGAGCCCTGCAATTGCTCAGATTCAACTTAGGGCCTGGGAAGAAGGAGGTAACTTGCTGAATGCACCCCAAGAAAACCCTTCCCGGCTTCTACTTTCTAGAGACCCGAGTGCTAGCTAGAAGATTCGTTTCACTGAAGCTGGCAGAGCCTAGAAAACGAACCGCAGACCGGCCCCGGGCTTGCGTCCTCGGGGGGCCCGGCTCCGGGGCGCCGGCCAGCAGGGAGCCCCCCCACCCCACCCCACCCCACCCCCCAACCCCACCCCACCCCACCCCACCCCACCCGATTCTCCAGCGGCGCGCGGCCTGCAGCGCGCAGGGCCCAGGGGCGTACGGCCGGGGCGCAGTCGCGAAGGCGTCGGGGTGCCGGGCCGCGCCGCGGCGGAGGGCAGGACCGCTGAGGAGAGCGGCGGCGGGAGGACGAGGAGACGCGGGCACCCACGCGGTGGTAAGGCCGCTCGAGGCCGCCGCGCGGGCCCGGAAGAAACGGTCATGTGACACCGACCTGCTGGTCCAGCCGCTGCTTCAGATGCACGCCGGCCACGGTGGCCGTCGTCAGCAGCACCGAGAGGCCGAGCACCGCCTTCGAGCGCCTCGACATCCCCGCGCCGGCCGCCGCAGCCGCCCCCGCCCACCGCCCACCGCCCACCGCCCCGCCCACCGCCCGAGGCCCAAGGCCGCCGGGACCGCGCGTCGCCGCCTTGGCCAGCCAGGCTCAATCCCTCGAGCGCAGAGCCCCGGCCGTCGCGTGCGCCGCCGGCAGCTGCCAGGCACAAGCAATCGAAAGCCGAACAGCGCGCCTGCTCCTTGCACAGCGCGGCTTCCGGTGGGGCGTTAAGACACAGGGGCCCTCCGCCTACTCCCCGGGCCGCGGGTAGACCACCTCTATTTTTTTTTTATTAATATTTTATTTTATATTATTCTTACATCATTTTTCATCTTTGCACAATGTATGCATTTTCATTTTGGTTCTATTCCCCATACAATTCCCACCCCCTTTTTCTGACCCTAATCCCTCTTCTCCTCTCAAACCCCACTGTAGTGTGTCTCTGGTTTATAGTTGCTTGTTGATTTGATTTTTACTTTGTATTAATTAGTCTTTTTCCTGGTCCCTTATTTAGGTTTTCTAAATTCCTGCTATGACTGAGACCATCCGTTATTTTTCTTTTTCTTTCTGGCTTATTTCGCTGAGCATGAACCCTTCCAGCTCCATCCATGTTGCTGCAAACTGCATATGTTTATCTTTTTTGAATGCTGAGTAATATTCCACTGTGTATATGTACCACATCTTCTTGATCCAGTCATCTATTTTGGGGCATTTGGATTGTTTCCATAGCTTAGCTACTGTAAATGGTGCTGCTATAAACAGAGATGCAGGTGCCCTTTGGAATTAATAGAACACCTCTAATTTTAATTCTAAAGAGATTGCGTCTAAAGTTAGATCCCAAACTTTGCCTGGGCGTTGGGTTTCTATTCCAGAACCACCTCATTTTATTCTCCCTTCCCTGTGGTGGGAGGCTTGTGGGAGTGCAGGAGTCTCACGGGGCTACCCTTGCAAACCCCTGTACCAGACCGGTCGCTTCAGATGGCAGAGCTAACCCAGTTGCTTCGCTCAAAACCAGCTTCACCAAACGCAACCTTTTTTGCTTCTTTGGGTGGGAGGTACCACCAGGAGGTGGAATTTTTGCTTAAGGATTCGTGAAGTCATGTGCATTTGCCTTGCCCCTTTGGGCTGGTTGATTAGGCTCCGGTTTTTCTTAAAATAAAAGTCTCTAACTAATGAGATGTTAACTGGGCAGCGACACCTCCTTGTCTCCAGGTACGAAAAGCGCTGGTCTCGGCGCCGGTGTCATCCTTGACATCACTTTTATACCCTTGGGGCCTCCGTTACCTATAAATTAGGCCGATTCCTGAAGTCCACATTACTAGGAACATAATGATAGAATGAAGCCGAGTGTTGAAAATAACGTAAGGCATTATGCAGAAGGCCATTCTTCACTTTTCCTAGGCTTTCCAGAAACTGCAGAATATCTAATGGACAATACTGGTTAGGGTTAGGACTAGGTCTCTGTTAGCCTCAACCAAGGGCTTCTCCAGCATTCATTTTTGCTATCCCAGTCGCTGTCGGTGGCAGCCTAAATGGCATGTGGTAAATATTTCTCTTTAAGAAATGTAATAAATGTTTAAAATCCTTTTCAAATGTCATTTATTCAGCAGCATTTTCCTAAGGCAGAGGGAAGTGTACCATTGGATAGAAAAACAGGGTTTCTGCCTTAATAATAGAGCTTGGAGTTAAAGCAGTTTAATTCAGGGCATATTTGCACATTTCTCTAAAGGAAAAAAATCTGTTAGAGTGTTTTACTTGTCATGGGTCTAGTTATTTTCCTCTATTAGTGGGAAAACAGAGCTACATGCATTAGAACATATGTATCACTTAGATGAGCTTTCATCCTATTGTGACTAATTTTTTCAATTTTTCTTAATTAAATGTATTTTTATTATTTTAAAAATCCTGTATGTGTTAACATCACAATAAAAAATTGGGTTATCTGTTTAAACATTTATAAACCTATGCTGAAATCAAGGTTGGGTAATTGGGTTTAGATGAAATCATGGGTGTGGAACCCCCATAATGGAATTATAATTCTTATAAAATGAGACAAGACTAGAGCATCTCTACCATTTAAGAACACAGTAAGAAGATAGCCAACTACAAACCAGGAAGAGGACCTGGCTATGCTGGCATGCTAATCTCAGACTTCTCAGCTTCCAGAACTGGAAAAATAGATGTTCGCGTCTAAGCCACCTAGCCCATGGTATTTTTCTTATAGTAGCCCAAACAATTGAAGACAACAAACTTAAATTTGGATGTGAATCTATTTCTGCCGAGTCAGTATCACCCAACACAGAAAATTCAAGACCTGGCTTTTGTCAGAACCTCTAACAACTCTCCTCCAGGAACCAGGTGCTAACAGGTCTTGAGTTCCTCACTCACTTTCTCTCTATGGTAAATCACCACTAATGCCCACTAAGTGGAAAAGCCCATTGGAGACTGTGGGTAAAAATGCTTCTGAAATAATCACAAAGGTAAGTACAGACTGAGATTCTACCATAAGGTAGAAAATTTTAAATTGAGGCCCACTCACCTACAGGGAGTATAAAAAAATCACTTCATAATACTAGCAAACACTTAGCATATTTAGCTGCATGCACATTTTAAAGCTGTTCAGTCTTTGACCAGCATCTCCCCAATTCCTCACTCCCTGGCAACCATCATTCTACTCTCTGCATATGAGAGTTCAGTTTTTTTAGATTCTACATATAAGTGAGATCATAGAATATTTATCTTTTTTAATGTCTGAATCACAATCTTTATTCATTTATCCTTTAATGGACACTTAGGTTATTTCTATAACATGCTTATCATGAATCACACTGCAGTGAACAAGGGGGTGCAGATATCTCTTCAAGATTTCATTTCCTTTGGATATATACCCAGAAGTGGAATTGCTGGATTATCTGGTAGCTCTATTTTAATATTCTGAGGAATCCTTGTGCTGCTTTCTATAATGACTGTACCAATTTACCTTCTCACCAACAGGTCCTTTTCTCTACATCCTCACCAATTCGTATCTCAGGTCTTTTTTATGAAAGCCATCCTGGCAGGTGAGAGATGATATCTCATTGTAGTTTTGATTTGCATTTCCCTAATGGTTGGTGATATTAAGCACCTTTCATATATCTATTGGTCATTTCAGTTGAAATGAACAAATGGTGACTATAGTTAATAATACTGTCTACTATACTTGAAATTTACTGAGAAAGTAGATCTTAAGCATCACATAACTCAAAATAAGTATGTGAAGTGATAGATAAACTATTAAACTTGATTATAGTAATCCTTTCACAATGTATAGATATATCAAATAATCATATTGTACAGCTTAAATATATGTAATTTTAATGTGTAAATTATGGCTCAATAAAGCTGGAAAAAAGAAATTGCAGGAAAACAATATAAAGCACCAAGAAGAAAAAACATTATATACACACACACTTAAAAAAATAGAAGTACTGTGCATACTATCACATGGATGAACCATGATATATTGAAAATGTTATGCTAAGTGAAAGAAGCTAGTCACAAAAGACACAATTTCATTTATATAAAATGTCTATAATAGGAAAATCAATAAAGATAGACAGTAAATTACCTGTTGTCAAGTGCTGGGAGCTAGGGGGTTGAGGAGTGACTGCTAATGGAGTTCTTTTAGGAGTGATAAAACTTTCTAGAATTAGATCATGATAATGGATACACGACTCTGTGAATCTACTAAAAACCACTGAGTGATACACTTCAAAGGGATAAATGTTACAGTATATGAATAACTATCTCAAAAAGCTGCTTTTAAAAGGTGAAAAAAACAAAGTTGTTTACGTGTCAAATCATTTCATCTTCATAACAATCCTATGAATTAGGATTATTATCCCAGTTATTGTCCCAGTTTTACAGATGAGGAACTGAGGCACAGAGTGATTCACAACTTGCCCAGAGTTCGTGGTCAGATGGTTACAGATCTAATTCATCTTAATTTTATTTTCAAAAGACCTAAAAGATTAAATTCACCTGGTTTAAACTTTTAAAAGAGAGAACATGTATTTTCAGTCAGTAGGTACAAGGACAATGTATATATCTAGAATCTTCTGATTTCATATTTTAGCTACATTAAAAAAATGCGAGCATTCAAGAGAGGAAAAAGAGGAAAGAGAAATGACTGGATACTCAGATGGGAGAGGGGAGAGAGGCATCAACAGAGAAAACACAAAAACTGACAGGGACTCCCAGTAGTTTCTGAGATGATCGCATCTCCCTTCACGGGTGCTCACTAAAAATGGACATCAGAGAGAGGCACTCCGTTCACGTGGACCTTTGGAATTCTGTTTTCAGGTCCTCCATTCCTCCCTTTGAATAGGAGAGCCCTGCAACACTCTAGCAGTATGTTGTTCTCAGAAGTTGGTCTCTGTGAGCAAAGTTCTGCAGCAAAAAGAGGTAGGAAGCTGAGCTGTGGTTTCACTTGCTGTGTAACTTAAGAGACAATCCTTTATCTTTGGAGTCTCAGTTTCTTTCTCTGTACTGTGGGGACAATGATATGTCTACTGGTTTCTTGGCTTGCTGGTTGAGACAACTATTAGTAGCATGACTAATGCTAATCATCCCCAGGCCTGTGGTAATAGTGCACATCAGGGCCTCCTGCCAGTGAGCCTCCAGTGGTCCCCCCTCTAGAGGGTGGGGAGAGCTCCTGTCACTGCCACTGGCTGTGAGACCTTGTCTTCACTTGTTTAGGAAATGTCTGTTTGCTTGCAGCTGTGTAAGTCTCTTGGTGACATCTCAGCTGGCGGCAGTGTGGACTCTCTCCTGGTGCTTGCCCAAACTGGGGATTAGAGCTGGCTCCCCTTTGCTGAAACTGGGGATTAGATCTTCATTGTTTCAAAATAGTTGTGACTGAGTTTTCTTTTGAATTCCAGTCACATTATCAGAAAAAAGGTTCACATTATTATTGTTCATGGAAGAAAAGAGCTGTTAGATCCTTTAGATATAATTTTGGCTACTATAAATTTGTGGATCCTTGTTAAAATATAATGATTTTAAGTCACAATCCCAACTGTTGGCAAAAGCAGGAAACAGCTGGAACATGTCAAGTGAACCACTTCAGCTGTATCTGCCAGAGCTGAATGTGTAAGAACCCCATGACTTAACAACTTCACCCCAAATACAGACCCAGCAAAAACGCATGTGTATGTGCACTGAGGGACATGTACATCTCTATAAGTTCCATTGACAGAAGTCAGTTCCATGGCTACCTTGTTGAGAGGACAGGGAGAATGCTTACAGGCAGAAAGCACTAATGGGACTTCTGAGGTGCTGGTATTATTCTGCTTCTTATCAGGGTGCTGGAACTGGTGTTTGTGAAAATTAACCAGAAGCACACTGGTTTTGTGCTTATCTCTCTATGCATGAGAGCGATACAAAAATCTTATGTAAAATTATGAACAGGAGAAAAATGGCTTTAAGTTTTTTCCGTCATTTCCTGTACCAAGAAGGTTTTTTTTCTCCAAGGGCCCTGTCAGGCCACCAGACTCAAAGAAGAGTAAACTAGAAGAGGAGGAGAAGGAAAAGGAGAAAAGACAAAGATGAGGACGAAAAGGATGAAGATGAACAATAAATGACTAGCCTGTAATGAGGTGTGGAGTATGCCTGTGTGCTCAGCCCACTGTTGTACTAAGAATTAAAGATTACCAAGAATTAAAGATTACCACTTAAAATGTCTTACTAGCATTTATGTACAGACATTTTTAACATAAAATTTAATATGAAAAACTTAGACACAGAAAAAGTTAGTTTTTCATTTAAAAAAAAAAATCAGACAGGAAGTGTCTCTGTTGGAAGCGGCTGCCTGGCAGAACTCAGAGGAAAATCTGCCATCAGGCCCACGAAGTTCTGCCAGCCAATGCAAAGGAGACCCCAGCAAGCTGCAGAGCAAGATGTGCTCATGAGCCTTCTTCATGCAAACCTGCCATGAAGGGGACAAGAAGAAGCACCTGCACTCCTCCGTCAACTTCACTGAATTCTCCAAGAAATGTTGCAAGAGGTGGAAGACCATGTCTGCTAAGGAAAAGCCAAAGTTTGAAGATATGCCAAAGGAAAGAAAGAAGATCCCAGTGCTCTAAAAGGCCTCCAACAGCCTTCTTTCTCTTTTGCTCTGAATATCACTCAAAGATCCACTAGGGAGACTGCAGAGAAATTGAGTGAAATGTGGTCAGAACAATCAGCCAAGGATACACAACCTATGAGCAGAGAGTGGCTAAAGTAATGGAGAAGCAGGGCAAAGACATTCCTGCATACCGCCTTGTGGGCAAAAGGGGCCAAAGTGAAGCAGGCAAGAAGGCCCCTGGCAGGCCAGCAGGCTCAAAGAAGAAAAGTTGAACTAGAAGATCAGGAAGAAGAAAAGGAAGAAGACGAAGATGAGAAAGAAAAAAACGAAGATGACAGGGCTTCCCTAGTGGCGCAAGGGGTTAAGATACAACCTATGAATCTATCTGCAGCACGGGTTCGATCCCCAGCCAGGTAGCAACCCACATGACGCAGCAGACTTTTCCTGACTCGCTGGCTGCTCCCCTCAGCAGTGTATTTCAGTCAATCTGCCAGTTCTGTTCCCAACTCTGTCTCTGGTGAATCCTCTCACCCCCTGCACCTCTGGCCTGTACCCCAGTTCTTGTATGCATAAATAAATAAATCTTTTAAAAAAAATGAAGATGACAGAAAATGGCTAGCTTGTAATGTGGAGTATGCCTGTGTACTCAGCCCACTGTTTTGCTAAGAATGTGAATTCAAGTGCAGCTCAATATAGCTTCAGTATAAAAACTGTATATATTTTTGCATAGCTGATAAGATTCCTTGTAGAGAAAATGCTTTTTTTCTAAGTTCTCCTTTTTTTTTTAAAGATTTATTTATTTTTTAAGACTTTTTTTTAAAGATTTATTTATTTGTTTGTTTGTTTGTTTGTTTGTTTATACAAGCACTGGGTACAGTCAGAAGCACGGGAGGGTGAGAGAATTCACCAGAGCCAGAGCAGGGAGCAGAGCAGGCAGAAGGACCGAAGTACACTGCTGAGGGGAGCAGCAGGCGGCAGAAGAGGTCTGCGCGCCATGTGGGACCCTCCTCTGGTGGCCGGGGAGCAGCCGGGGATCGAAGCGGCGCTGCAGAGGCCACGGGCAGCTTCGCAACCCAGCGCTCAACCGCTGCGCCACCGGGGAGGCCCAAGATTTACTTATTTTTATACAAGAGCTGGGGTACAGTCCAGAGGTGCAGGAGGGTGAGAGGATTCACCAGAGACAGAGCAGGGAGCAGAACCGGCAGAAGGACCAAAGTACACTGCTGAGCGGAGCAGCGGGCGCGACAGGAGAGATCTGCTGCACCGTGGGAATCGCCCTGGCTGGCCCAGGAATCGAACCCATGCTTCAGAGGCTGCAGACAGCTTCACAGCGCTGCGCTCAACCCATTGCACCACCTGGGAGGCCCCCGCGAAAATGCTTTTTTAAAAAGGCAGGTTATAGCTTTTTGAGCCGTTACTCCATACAGTCAGATTTTAAAGTTCCTGGTGTTGAATATTTCTAAATATTTAATGACTTCTTTCATTTCTTGGCTTGTGTGTGGTAGCACTGCAAACTTGTGGGAATTAGTATTGATAGAAAATTTGGAACTTTTAGAATGTTACATTTTTTAAATATAATAAAATTATGTATCTTAAAAATAAATGATTAAAAATCAGACTTGTTATTAGAAAATTTACTGCACATTTAATACTTAAATCTGCCCCAATATGTTGGGCTTTTCCCTTGTTTTATTGAGGTATAATAATTTATATCACTGTGTAAGTTTAAGGTGTAAAACACAGGGGCCTCCCCTGGTGGTACAGCTGTTGAGTGCTAGGTTGCAAGGCTGCCCACAGCCGCTGCAGTGCCGGTTTGATCCCGGGCCGCCTGGCGGGCGTCCCACATAGCGCACAGACCATGCCTGCCGCCCCGCTGCTCCCCTCAGCAGTGTACTTCGGTCCTTCTGCCTGCTCTGCTCCCTGCTCTGGCTCTGGTGAATTCTCTCACCCTCCCGCGCCTCTGACTGTACCCACTGCTTGTATAAATAAATAAATAAATAAATATTTTTTTAAAAAAGGTGTAAAACACAATGGTTTGATTTACATATATGGTGAAATGATTACCACAATAAGTTCAGTTTGTTTTTCTTTTTATAATTATATATAGCATCATAGATTATGTTGGTTTTATTTTTATGTTTTATAAGACTGTTATAGCAAGAAAATGTGAATAATTATTATCTTCAAATCTCCATTTGGAATTACACAAATTCTCTCAAGTTGATGCCTGTGTGCTATATAAATATCCATTTTTATGTCTATTGGGATGGAAGAGTCAGAAGCCTGGCTAATTTAACAGAATTGGCTTTTTTAGGCCAGAACTTCTGAACTGTGTGTATCTGTCTTTTTCTTGATTTGGATTTCTTGATATCACTTCAATTCCCATCCCGTCAGCTTTGGACTAACCCAGATTTGCCTAGAGTGACCACAGCACTCTTGGAGGGGACCACAGTGCTCCATGCAGAGGCCCTACCCCTTTCAATGTCACTTCTAATGGGAGCTGGAGAGTTGCTGGTGGTGACATTAAAACTGAAAGCCTCAGGAGCAACTCTGCTCACACTCAAGTCTATGGAAGGCTGGGAGCTTTAGGATACCTCATTTCTCCTCTTCCCACCCACTGAGTTGTTTTCAAACCTTGAAATCCCTTTGAAATTGCTTGCATGATAACCCTTCTTACGTAAAACCTCTGGGAGACATAATCACTGCCATCAGATTGAACTTGCATTCTAAGATGAAAATATAAAGCTGACCTTAAAAACTTCATAGTGGATCCAAACTACAATGGCGTACTACCCTCCGCCTTCCCCTTCAGTGTCTTCTGAGTAAGAGGAAACATCAAAAAGATGGACAGTTGGAGATCAGGGTCTTGGAGAAGGACCAGGAGATGAAAACAAATGGAGGGGAGTGTAATCGTCTCCCTGTATTTGAACAACACGGTCACAATGTGGAACAATGCTTGTTCTACCTTCGCGCATGCAAGAGCAAGGGCGTGACTTGAAAAAATGCCTTCACCACTGAGTGTGTGATTTGGCTTCTGTTACATGGGTTTGAATCAAAGACAGGTCCTTGCAGCTATTTCGGGAGAGCTGGATTTCAAAGTAACTTCTGTCATAGAGAATATTAATCAACAGTACTCTAGTGGGAGGTATTAATAGAGAGGCATAGGTTTAAAGTGAAATAGATGGTGGGCAGAAACGTAGTAGGTGAGGGCGGAGGCATAAAGCAAGGAATTAAAACATTGTTTGGGACAGGGCTCAAAAGAAGGAAGACAGGAAAGAGGGAGGTTTGTTTAGGAAGAAGGTAGAGGGTGTCAGCCAAAATGGCACCAGTGGTCAACTTTTGTGTAAATGTTCCCCTCTCAGCAACTATAGCTTGTGGGGGCATACCACATGGCACTCCCCTCCCCATAAAGCCCCATTATGACTATTTAAAAAACAAACACAGTCTTGCCTTGTCTATGACCCTATAACCACCTATAACCCATAGACAGCTAATGCAGTGGGGCCCATCTCTTCCTAACATAGGTTCTAAAACCAGCTATCAACCTGTAAGGTAAAAATCATAACCAGAATGACTCTTGAAAATCATTAAAGATAGTAAATACGTGTTCTCTCAATTTTTCCTCTGGCACTGGAACTGATTGCTATGAATCCAATGGAGGAGCTACATAATTCTGTTGGAATTCTGCACAGGAAATTTGTCTCTCCTCCTCCCCACCTACTGATTTATTCACTCATTTATATCCCTATAGACTCATGGATACTAATTTTTTGAATAGTTATTTTATATTTTAGATAACTTCATACTTTATTTTGTTGCTCAAATTGTTCCAACTTTGGCCATTGGCAGCTCTTTCACTTGGCTACTGTACCCTTTCACACATCCCCATCCATTCATATTTCTTTCATTTTTTGGCATTACAAGATAGTCCAGGTTCATCTTATGTATTTCCTCTCCTGTCCTATAATTTGCCATTTCTCCAAGGAACTCTGCTTTCTTTTATTGAAGAACGATAATAGAAACCAAGACCTGGGTTCCATGTATGCTTGTTGCTACTGGAGTATTGTTTCTTGCTGGACCTCTCAGCTGATAGAGAAAATAAATATATGCATGTATAAAAATCTGTGTATATATCCATCTCTATAAATACTTCTACATATATAAAGACCTACATTCAGTAAAACAAGTTATTAGTCAGGTCTCTGACTGTAATCCAGTGCTACATTGATCATTCTTCTGTCTTCCCCTGGTTTATCTCTTAATTCCCACTCCCACAGGGAGAAACCTGACTCCCATCATGCACCATCCATTTATGTAATTGTTCAATTTCAGCATATATGTAGAGCAGAACAGGAGTGTCAGTCCATACCCTCATGGGAAACCAGTTAATCAACTAGAGTACCTTGCTTTTTTTGCTGTACCATTGCTCTTAGTCTTACAGACTTCAGGAACTTCAAAGTTACTAAGTCAGCACCCTTTCTTCCACCCTTGTAGGTGACATTGTTTCACACTTTCGCAATCCAGTTAGATTCTCTTATCACAACCTGCATTCTTTCCTGGGATCTTCATGAGAATTTTTTTTCTCCCTCCTATAAACCA